CGACTTTTTCGATTATCTGAGTATTCTTGAAAGGATACATAGACAGTTGACCCTCCGACATTTGAGCCTCGACAGTTGAGCCTACACATCTGAGCTCTGGACGTCTGAGCCTCCCAATATTTGAACCCTCGCCAGCAGAGCCTCTTTATTTTTGAGCCCCCTACAGATAAGTCTTGCCAAGTAAGTAAACCTCCCATCCTCTGAAAAAAAATGGTGCCATACGGTACCATTCTGCTTTAAAAATCGACACCTTTCAAAAAGGTTTCGTAAGAACCGAAATCACCTTCAAAATGATTGTCAACGATCGAGGAAACTTTTTTAAAGATTTCTTAGATCTTTTACAAAACCCTGCAAACACTCAGAATTTGTTTCAAAAATCGAAACCTGTTTCAGGTTTCGTACTATGTACGACGCTACTTGTTAGTTCCGCGTAATTCGATGCAACTTTTGGCACATTAGAATGTGATTAATGTCTGATAATAAACTAATAAATCAGTAGCCATCAACTACATACTTTACTTTATCTTATTTTATTACATCATACTTGTTTGGCAAAGTTAGGGTTACTTGAGGGTGTGGGTGTGTGGGTGTGTGGGTGTGGGGTGTGGGTGGGTGTGGGGTGTGGGTGTGTGGTGTGGGTGTGGGGTGTGGGTGTGGGTGTGGGTGTGGGTATGGGTATGGTTGAATAAATAATAAACATTAACACCCACACCCACACCCACACCCACACCCACCCCACACCCACACCCATAAACCTCATTAATCCACATGTGGGTAAGCATTGATTGTTGATTTTTATTGAGTAGATCTTTTTATTAATTATTTGTTCTTTTTTTTTGTCATCCAGAGTAAATGTGGTTCTATTGAAAAGCTCAAAATGTATTTAAATCAGTTGATGATCATGATACAGCGGCATACTATGTAATGGGTAACTATATTTACTTTTATTTTTTTTTGTGTCACGTCTTGATGTCAGGTCCGATTACAAAGGAAACAAGTGATAGAGAATCTAGTTTATTCGTAAACAAATGTAACTGACATAATATGAATGATTTTTCTTTATATACACATACAAGGTTAGACTGGGAATATTCCAACATGAGTTGGGAAAAACATATAAAAAGAACGAGAAATGAAACTAGGAATTTTCCAGGGTCTAGGACAACTGATCATGGGATAACTTATCACGGACAACTGATCATGATCATCTGATCATGGAAAAACTGATCATGACGACAACTGATCATAGACAACTGATCATAAGGGACAACTGATCTTGAACAGTTGATCATAAAAAACCGTTCGATAATTGATAATTGTCATTTATTTCCAAACAAAAAAGAACAGAGAGAGGGTGTGCGTGTGAGTAGGTGTGGGTGTGGGTGTGGGTGGGTGTTGGTGTGGGTGGGTGTTGGTGTGGGTGGGTGTTGGTGTGGGTGGGTGTGGGCGTGAGTGTGAGGTGTGAGTGTGGGTGTGGGCGGGTGTTGGTGTGGGTGTGGGTGTGGGTGTGGGGTGTGGGTGTGGGTGGGTTTTAAATATAAGAAATAAATTCACACCCACACCTACACCTACACCCACACCCACACCTACACCTACACCCACACCCACACCTACACCTACACCTACTCCCACACCTACACCTACACCCACACCC